CCCCCCCATGCGCTCCCTCCGCCGGCATCACGTGTCGCCATCATACTCATTGCGAGTCTCTGCCTCGCCTGTCGCCACGTTTCAGGAGCAACGAGGACACTTGGTTGCCGTCCTCTGTGCGCCCTCCCCGCTCCCACGTCCCCCTCCTCCGAGGAGGAGCGCACGGCGGCCTGGATCAGGCCAGAGGGCCCCAACCCCGAACGGCCCAGCCCTCGTCCGCGGGAGAGACAGCCGCCGAGCAGTCGGGCGGCGCTGGGCGCTGTGCGGGAGAGGGGCGCGGGGCGAGGGCCGGAGACCTCCCTCTGGAGCCACCTCGGGGAAGCCTGAGGGCGCGAAGTGGGGAGTTAGGGTCCATTGCTGTCCTTCCCCTGCCTTCCAACGAGTTTATTTAAGTTCTGAGGCGAAGGGGGAAGGCCAGTGGGTCCAGCCCGCCCGTTCCAGAGGAGACGCTTACAAGGGAAGGGAAAGGAAGGGGCAACGTGTTGGCACCCATCCTGCTGGAGCCGCTCGCGGGCTGAGCGTTCGCCTGGGTCGAGGCCGCGTGGGCTCGCAGCGAGCCCAGGGCCGGGAGGCAGCGAATGAGGACAGCATCTGCTGGGCGAAAGCCCTGTTGCTGAGCGTCAGCGGGCTGGGCGCGCGGGGCCCGGGGCTCCCGCCGGCTCCGCACTGGTGCTGGACAGCTCCGCTTGCCACCTGCAGCCGCGTTGGCCGGCGTCGCGGACTGGGGGACAGTTCCTCTGTAGACTCCACTACCTAAGACCCGGACGGGGGGAACACCGGGGAGTGGTTCCATGCCTCTCATTCTGCCTGCTCTGTGCGCCAAATATGCGATCTGTTTGCACTTGGCTGCAAATGCTGCTCCGAAAGCTTAAGGAGAATGGGGAGAAAGGCTTTTTCAAGCCCAGGAACAGACTCTCACCACGGCGCGGGCACATCTCTTGCCGCCAGTTTGCGGTGGAGCTCCTTCATTCCACAAAGCTTGCCTCATGGCAAACCAGCAGCCGCTCTCAGCCCCCGGCCCCACTGCGCCTGCTTATTTAGCTCCAGAAAAGCCTCGGATTTGTTCTGACATTAGGGGAAGGGATGGGAAGAAGGGGCAAATAAGAGTGTCACCAAAAGAGGGGCCCCAGGCTGTGCGTCCCCCTGCAGCAAAGCAGATGAGCACCTTCCCCACCTTCTCCACTCCTCTGGAAAGAAAAGTTCAGGGGCTCCAGCTTTAGCTCCTCGAGGATACAGATGCCAAAGTGTTTTGTTTTGTTTTGTTTTTGTTTGTTTTTGTTTTTTAAGGATCGGTTCTTTCAAGGTGAAAGCAGAGGAATGTGTTTGCTGTGTTTATTTAAACACACACACACACGCACAACTTTATACCCAACCCCAGTGTGCTTTTAACTCTAATTCTTCCCAATTGTTTATGAGGACCCAAATAAACAGAAATTCTAATTGAGGTTTCCTTTTATATTTTGGAAACATCCACTCACTTAATTCAGAGACAGCCCTTATTCTCAGATTTTAAATAGGCATTAAGCTTATAAAAAGTGTGTGCTCTCACATGCGTCCCTTCCAAAAATATATATATTCTTTCCTAACCTGCTGAATAAACTGCTAACTGCATAGGTTCTCTTAGCATGGGAAATTCAGGCCTCTCTTTTAAAATAATAATATGATTATTAGAATTATAGTTATTATTATACATATTATTATTATTACTATGATTATTTTGATTGTGTCATGTATCTCCTGTTGATTTTCCCATTACTTCCTTTAATCCTATATGTATTTGTTTCTACTGAAAATTAGACACAAATTATACTTTTTATTATCAAGAATAATCATCGATTTGTGAAAAAGTTTCTCTGGTCCTTTTTCTGAAATACGATGGATGGTTCCTTTGAAAATTACATTATTCCAACTTGGGAGAAACTGTTTAATAATCTTGCTATGCGGTATCCATCACAGCATAAATTGTACTTCTTAGTTCTCTTCTTTAGTAATGATGATGTAATTGGCCAGTTCTTCAGAGTCACAGGATTTTAGAGCTTCTATTAAGGATACTAAATAACATACCCTTCACATTCTTCTACTGAACTACTGCTCTGAGTGCATGCACAAGCACACAAGTTCTTTTATGGTAATGGTAAATACCTGTACATCGAACTTAAAACCAGAACATTTCCTAAACTTTCCAACTCCTGTCTCAAAGTGAAAATGACTGAGTACAACAGCAACAAGTAAGATTTGTTTCTAAAATCCACAAGAGGCCTGAGAAGTCTTCCTGTTTACACTGGAAGTTTATTGCCAGAAAGAACTCTGAACCATTGGGACATTTCTGCTTTGTGTAACCATTTGAATCAAAGACTCTTTACAGAACCTAGGCAGACGAAGTGGTCTTACAATTTTCTGTATAAATTACCCTGCCTTTCATCGTGATTCTCCCACTGATTTTTAAACTATAAACAAATGGAGGTCTAAATATAGACAGTAGATCATCTGCATTACTTTCAAGAGTTTCCTTTGTATTTCTGTGTAGGACTAGGGTTCAAAAGCTCTCAATATGAAGAATGCTATGTTCTATACTCAAAAGGAAATACAAGCTATTATCATAATCTAAAAAAAAAAAAGCCTTAGGCCTCATATAAGGAATAATAACACTTTAGGAAAGAATGGTCCACTGAAAATGAAGAGTTTGTGCTCTGATTTTAGGGAAAAAAACTTGCACAAACTCATGGCCACAAGTCAGGTCCTGCTGGATGTATCATGCTTCAATAAATTCCTTAAAGCACAGTCTCCTACTGGAAAAGGAAAATACAGGAATGTAGTTGGTTTGTTTATGAGGCTGGTGAGGGCACCTGAGGACTCATTTCAGATTGATTGAGCATTGGAAAGGATTCCTTATTAAGAAAGCAGATTCTCATGGTTAATTAATTTATGACAGAGGAGCCAAGAATACACAGTGGGGAATGGACATTTAAACGGTGTTGGGATAACTGGACAGTCACATGCAACAGAATGAAACTAGACCACTATCCTACACCATACACAAAAATTAACTCTAAATGGATTAGATGTGAATAGAAGACCTGAAACCATAAAATTTTTAGAAGAAAACATAGACAGTGAGCTCCTTGACATCTTAGCAATGAATTTTTGGATCTAACTCTAAAAGCAAAGGCAAAAGGGGTACCTAGGTGGCTCAGTCAGTTAAGCATCTGCCTTCGGCTCAGGTCATGGCACCAGGGTCCTGGGATGAAGCCCCACATCAGGCTCCCTGCTCATCAAGGATTCTGCTTGTCCCTCTCCCTCTGCTGCCTCCCCTGCTTGTGCAGTCACACACACTTTCTCTCTCAAATAAATAAAAATCTTTAAAAAAATAAAATAAAAGCAAAGGCAACACCAAAAATAAACAAGTGGGACTACTTCAAATAGGAAACCTTCTGCATAGCAAACAATCAACAAAATGAAAAGGCAACCTACTAAATGGGAGAAAGTATTTGTAAATCATATATCTGATAAGGGATTAAAATCCAATTATATAAAGAACTCAAACAACTCAATAGCAAAACAAAACAAAACAATCCAATTAAAAAATGGGCAGAGGATCTAAATAAACATTTTTCCAAAGAAGACATACAGGTGGTCAACAGACACATGAAAAGATGCTCAGCATCACTAATTATTAGGGAAATGCAAATCAAAACCATACCTGTTACCTGTTAGAATGGCTATTATCAAAAAAGACAAGAAACAAGTATTGGAGAGGATTTGGAGAACACTTGTGCACTGCTGGTGGGAATGTAAATTGGTATAGCCACTATGGAAAAGGCTGTGGCAGTCCCTCAAAAAACTAAAAATAGAATTACCATATGATCCAGCTAATCCACTGCTGGGTATTTATCCAAAGAAAATAAAAACACTAATCTGAAAAGATACATGCATCCCTATGTTCACTGCATCATTATTTATAATAGCCAACATATGGAAGCAACCTAAGTGTCCAGCAAAGGAAGAGTGGATAAAGGATATGTTAGTTATAGATATAGTTGAATATTACTCAGCCATAAAAAAGAATGAAATCTTGCCATTTGCAACAACATGGATGGACCTTGAGGATATTATACTAAGTGAAATGACTCCAATAGAGAAGTACTATATGATTTCACTTATATGTGAAATCTATAAAACAAAACAAAGGAAAAAAATTAAACAAATCTCATAGATACAGAGAACAGATTGGCAGTTATCAGAGGGGGAGACGGGTGGGGGTAGGTAAATGGATGAAGGGGGTCAATTGCATGGTGATGGATGATAATTAGATTTACTGTAATAATCACTTTGTAGCATATACAAAAACCAAATTATTAGGTTATACTCCTGAAATGAATATAACATTACATACCAATTTGACCTCAATAAAAAAGGAATGTTCCAAAATATTTTTTAAAAAGCAAGCAGATTCTCCACCTTAAGATGGTGACTAGTCCCCCTTTAAACATAAAACTGTTATGTGTGCCTTACCTTCATCTACAACATCACTATTTATAAACTCCTTTCACTTACATTTCTCATTTA